TCAAGAGGTAACAATCATTTGTTTATGTGGCTTGGTTTAGCATGTCCCATATGGGTATTGCTCTTGTAATCACAGAAAATCTGAGCTGAACCACAGCAGAAGTAGCGTTATGAGCAAAACAGGTCTATTACTGCAGGAAAATAAGTATGCTAGAAGGGAAAGAAAATTTCTGTAAATTTACTGCGAATCAATTTGAAGGCTTTTATCTTGCTAAAATATACTCAAGAACAATAGAAACCATAATCTCAGAAATTAGAGGAATCATTTTTCTCATTTAGCCAGAAGGATTAATATGTAATTTTGATTAAATAATATAATATAATATAATATTCTAAACATAAAAGTGGTTCAAAAAAGAGGGAAAGGATATTTTTCAGCTGTTTTAATGTAAGCTGCATATTTTTGTAAACCCAAAGCAGTGAGGGATAGTAAAAGAGTGGAAAATCTAAAGGACCATTTCTTCACAGTTTAGAGAAAAGAAAAATCAAAATGCCTTCTAAACATATAAGCAGCCGTAACTCAGCAGGGGATAAAAAACAGATTTGAGCTATTTTAGTAATATAAGCCTATTTTAATTGTGAAACATTTTTAAGTCTGCGTGGAGATAAATTTAACATACAAGTGTCAACTATATATATATATATACACACATATATATATATATACACACACACACACATAAATATGTATAGACTTATATATTTCATACACACACACACACACACACACACATATATATATATATACATATACTACAAGCAAAAAGTTAAAGAAAGCAATTGTAAAAATAGATCAGTTTCAACATTTGCAATACAGTTTTATTCAAAAATCCACAGAAAACTAACTGTATAAGACATATAAAAATTATAGAATTGTATCAAAAATCAGTTAAATAAACTTAATAAAGCTTATGGTCATGTACAGAAATACTTAATATCATATAGAATATCATAAAGCCATCATTATGATGTAAAGGTTTAATATAATTCAAATCAAAATCAACACAAAGATAATTATGTATGTATTTATTTAGATATAAAAAAATTCATTCTACTGAAAATCTCTTTTTTTCTAAATTCTTAACACAAACCAATATTGAAATTAGAAACATGTCTTTAAAATAGTATTTCAAATAGCAAATAGATAGCAATAAATTTATAGGCTATTTTTACATAAAATAGAATATTTCTGAAAAGATTTAAAAACTACTACATAGAAGAGCATCAAACACTGGGAAACATTAATGAAAAATAAAGAATAGAAGATTCAACATTGTAGAGATACAGATATCCTGCAGTTTGTTCATCATTTTTATGCAATCATAATCAAAACTCAATGGTCACATATGTACATATGTGCATAAATATATATATACATACATATATATATATATATACACACACACACACACACACACACACACACACACACACATACATACACATATATATTGGTTAGATAATTCAAAATAGTCCATGAAAATTAAAGATCAAAGAATGGATGCTTTACAAGATGAGAACCATATAAAAATGACTTATAAAAGTTTGTATAGAGAGAATCACAGCCTCTGAGACAGGAGTCCCTTGTGTTTCTACTTTGCTAGCAAAGCAATATATCTTCTTTCTTCTTTTTCTCAAAACTGTTTTTGTTATTGGATAGACTTCGGGGACAAGGAATGAGCTTTCAGCAACAAACTTGACATCCCAGATGGGACCTGAGAGCAGTTCCTGCTCCAGATTTCTTGGGCAGGCCTGACTCCCCAAAGAACCCCCCACTTCCATGCTGAAGTTGCAAGGAGCTAACAAATTTGTTGAGACCCAAATTCAGGAGAGATACGAGACAAATGAGTTTGCCTTGGGTCAAAGCAGAGGAGCTACTTCTGTGGTAAGAGGAGGGACTAAGGGATCTTCCTAGCAGCTCCTTTGGTTCCCCAAACTCCCACCTTCTTTCCTTTAATGATACAGGTTTCTCCATCAAGATCTACATTGAGAAAAAGGAAATTGAACTCAGTAAAGCGGAGACATCCTTGGCTATTTTGTAGGTCCCCCAGTGTGCGTGCCCAGATCCTTGACTCTAAACATCTGGTTCCTCTTCGTGGAAACATCTGTCCCTCTCTGAGGGTATAAAAGTCATGGTTAAGCAGGATTTGAGAATGTAAGGATAAACCTCTTCTAGGTTCTTATCTGTTTGTTGGCCTCGGCTTTGGGAATTCCTTCTGGTTTTCTATGTTTTTGTTTTGTTTGTATCTGCTACTGCCTCTTTCAAGACATGGCTAATACTGCATTGATACTGTAGGGAGTCTCTTGTGTAAGATCTTGGCTGGTCAATTTAAAGGTTCCCTTGGTTTTGGAGCTCTTCTCAGGTTGTCTCTCTTTCTCTGATGTTTTTTTTTTTTTTTTTTGGATACAATCTTGCAATTGGAGTTGGTCTGTCAGAGGTAAAGTAAGTTGAGGGACCATCTATAGTTATAAACCTGTCTAGAATAATGTTTTGCTGTAACAATCTAGCTTTGAAATAATTTTCTGGATTATTATACAAATTTGCAGTTGGAGTTGGTCTGTCAACAGTAAAGTAACTGGAAGAAATTTGTATGTGCATGTTCCTATCTGTCAGCCCTGATTTCAGTGATCCTCTTTCTATGTATTTTTGTGTCTGTTACTGGTCCTTTAAGACATGGGCCATGCTGTGTTTGTCTTACCAGTAGTCTCTTGATCAGAGAGATCTTGGCTGAATAGGTGTAAGCCAATCTGGTTTACTGTAACACAATCTTAACTTCGAATGGTTTTTCTGAATTATTATAAAATCTTGACATTGTAGTTGGTATGTCAGGGGTAAAGTATATGAAAGAGATTCTGTATGTAAAGGCATTTATTGCAGTTGCATGATAAGAGGTCTGAACCATCAGGAACTAATTTGAAGGTGTCAAAAGGCACTGCCTCTTCTGCCTCTTGTGTGCAAGGACAGGAGAACACCAGAAGAAGAGGTTACAAATACTTAAGTATTTTAAACCCAGTGCTGGCACTACCAGCCCTGCTTCTCAGCCCGGCCCCAGGCAGCCGCAGATCCTCTCCTTGTAGTCATGGACACTAGCCCTAAATTGGGGGGAAAAAAAAAAACAGTAAAACTACCTGGGCTGTAGAAAACAGTCAAAGAGAATCTGGCCTCTGCCCCACCTTCCAACCCATTTTGCCCATGGAGTTTGGAGGCTCTGGGCCACAAGGATGTGGCAGGAGATTTCAGCATTGTTAATTTATGGCCTGGGGACAGGAATAGTCTCCCTTGACATTCCACATGGCCAAGGGATATTAATCACTGGGGCAGAGCGGTTCTTACTGTAACAGTATTCCATGCAACTAAATGCTTGGGGAGACTGGCAGAATAAATAAGTGAACCCAGAAAAGAAAAAGAGAGAAACTAAGGCCCACCATGTTTTGCAGGCAGCCTCTGCAAAGGGATCTTCAAGGAAGCCTAAAGAAAAGGATGGAAAAGGCCTCCTCCATTGCATATGGATATGCCTGGTATAAGAAAACGACCCCCAAAGGAGCCTCTGTGTACAATTGTCAGTGGGGAGCTCATAAAATTGATGGCATCTTGATAACGATAAGGCAGACAGGTCAGGCTCAAAAATATCCTATGCTCCAACCCCTTGAATGCCACCTGGGAGAGAAAAGATTAAGTCACTGTTATATTTCCCCACTGTGCTAATTGTTTACAAAAAAAAAGTAATGTTTTGCTGTCTTGTGTATTGTTGTCTTAGCATGCTCCCAGCCCTACATATGCCTTGTCCAGTCACCTGTCATCTGCCGCTATAGACCTCTGGACTGTTCTGATGGTGAATGCCCTTAACTGTCCATATGGCACCTGATAGAGATCAAGGACTTTGGGTTACTTTCCCCAACTTTGCCCTCTTTCAGCAGGAAGCAGCTTGGAGAAGTCCTTGCCCCCTTTTCCACAGAAGTGGAATGTGAGATTTGACAGTGGGGAAATGTAGCAGTGGGCCACTTTATGTGTTGAACGTAGCCCTTGGTGCTCTGCCACTGCAACTTAGTTTTAAATGGACAGGTTTCTTTCTCTTCTTCTCTCCCTGCTCCTCCCTAATCTCTCCCCATCCTTAATCTCAGGGGAAACAGGATTACCTTTCTTTCCTATTTTAGGCAGATTTACCTGTCCTTGAGCACACACCCACCGTAAGAATGAAGTAATCCAGACTTTGGGGATGTACCAGAAGATCTCAGATATAACTATCTCCCAAATTAAGAACTCCAACAGAGAACACTTGGAATGTGTCCTTTGAATCACCTCTTTAAAAGCCAACTATTCCTGCTGAGGGGGAGAATCACAGCCTCTGAGACAGGAGTCCCTTGCGTTTCTCCTTTGATAGCAAAGCAGTAAATATTCTTTTTTTTTCCTTTTTCTTAAAAAAATGTATAGAATGAAATAGTATTAGAGCATGTATGCACACACTCAAATGTATGACATCAGAGAAACCAGAACCACAGCTATATTGGCACTTAATTTGAGAAAAAGTAGGAATGTTGAGTATTGGACAGAAATTAAACTTTTTAGTATACACTTAGAAACAAGTTGATATCCTAAGTGCAGAGGAGACACCATATGCCAAAAAAGCAATTCCACAATGAATATAAATCTAATTATAAATGTATCAGATATACAATATAAAAACTATGTACAATTTTTAGAATATAATGCAGAAATATCTTCATACTTGGGATACGTATCATCCACAAAGGAAAAGATGAAGGACTTTGTTACAGTCATATTTAGAACTTTAGAGATAGAGATAAAGAGAGAGAGAGAGAGAGAGAGAGAGAGAGAGAGAGAGAGAGAGAGAGAGAGAGAGTTTTTTAATATTTATTTTTTAGTTTTCGGTGGACACAACACCTTTATTTTACTTTTATGTGGTGCTGAGGATCGAACCCAGCATCCCGTGCATGCCAGGTGAGCGTGCTACCACTTGAGCCACATCCCCAGCCCAGGATACTATTCTTAATAACTCCAAATTGGAACCAACCCAGATGTCTAGCAGACACATTCATTGTAGTATTTATTTACATGGTAGAATACTATATAGAAATAGAAATGAATGAACTAAATTTATATGTCACACCAAGGATTAATCTATACAATATAATGTTGTTCAAATAAAGCCAGACACAAAATAATTCTATATTTTCCACTAATAAAATAATTCAAAATCAGCCAAAATTACACTACTTTGTTATAGCACACTTTGATATAAAGTACAGCAAGGTAGTGACTATCAATAATAGTCACACACTGATCACATTCAGGTAACAGAAGGAGATTATGACTGAGAATAGACTTTTGAGCTGCCTCTGAGGGTAAAGACTTGTTCTATTTCTTTTTGCTTACATTATAATATTTTAAGCAGTTGCACATTTATATTTTATGCACCTCTTTGTGTTCTGTATTTCAGAGTAAAATAATGTTTACAAAATGAGTATAAATTTTTGAATTAGGAAAGAGATCCAATATAATTTTGAGGAAAAAATTTGAAAAGACAGAGAAACTTACAACAACACACAGTTAATTAAGGCAGTGCAGCATTTATGGAGGAAGGAGGTTCTGACCCATAAGAACAGTGACCCAGAAGTAGAGTCACTTAATAAGAACTGCAGATAACAGAGACGTAGCAAAACAAATTATGAAGGACTGACTCAAGACATGTAGGTAAAAGTTTCACTATACCTATGTTAAAAATAAGATCTCTAACACCAGGCACAGAAAAATGCTCCAGACAGATTAAGCAGTTAAACATGAAAAGAATAATTTTAAAACTGATAAATAAAATGGGTGAATATTTATCTCATGTGAACATAGGGAGGACTTGAGGAAACACAGAAAGTCCTGACCATATCTAAAAATAATAATACTTTTGGCTATCTTGACATTAGAAAGTTGAGTTTATCAAAAGACATCTTTAAAAATATTAAAGATAAAAACAGGATAAAATAAGGGAAGCATATTTAATCAACAGAGAATTTCTAGTATGAAACTATAAAAAACTTCTACATATCAATAAGGAAAAGGTCAAGAGATGTTGGTTTGAGTGTGTATTGAACAGCCATATGCACAAACATCAATCTTTCTAGTAACCAGAAAATTTTAAATTCAGGACATAATGAGAGACCATTCTACAACCACTTCACTGAATAAAGCTGGGAAGTTTGACAATACCCATGTAAATCAAAGGATAATCTTTTACATTATTGGTGTAAGTGAAAATTAGTATAATAACTTCAGAAAACAATATGTCATTGTTTCACAAAGTTGAATATTCACATAGCCTGTGACTCACTAAATCTAGAGCTAGATATAGGCCCAAGATAAATTTTAGCTATGTGTATCAGAAGACATTTCCAAGAATTGTTCATGGTATTTCACTTCATAATGGACAAAAAATAAATTTCAATGGGAAAACCAATTAAAAATTTGAGGTCACTATACAATATTGTAAGGCAGGGAAAAAATAAATGTATTGCAACTAAACTAAAATTTGGAATAATTGGATAATTGAAAAATAATTAAATAGTAAGACATGGTGGGACACATCAGTGTTACCCATTACTCAGGAGACTGAGGTTCCTGAATCACTTATCCCTTGAGCCACGCCTGGGTGAAATAGTAAGATCATGTCACCCTAAAAAAAAAAAAAAAAGAAAGAAAGAAAATTAAAGAAAAACAAATTTTTATTTTTGGTTTAAAAAAATTTTGTGTGTTTAAGTACAAACATCTAAAGAGTGGAAACTTCTAAGGAAAATAAGAATATAGGGAGTGGGGAGGTTGAGAGCATATTAAGTTCCTGGAAATATTTTAGTTTTAGAACTGGTACCTAATTCCATGATTATTTACTACAACATTGACAATAAATAAATGAGGGAAGGAATGAATAAATGAAAATAAAATACTTTAACTTTTCTGCTTACTCTGATTGGTCAGGGCTTCTTTTATCCATGTCAATTGCTGTAGGGAGTTATAGATTTTGCAGATTTCCAGAAGTGAAGTTATGGCTTAGAGACGAATTACCACTCTGTGCTGGTCTAGTTCCCTTTTCTCTGCAAAGTTTCTTACTAGTCTTTTGCTACCTTTGAAAAATGAAAACAGTTATTTTAGACCTAAAAGCTCAAATTTCTTCCACTGTACAGCAAAATAAAAAAATACTTCCTATCCATTTTACAGTGTTGTCGTGGGTTCAAATGAAGCCACATCAGAATGTATTGTACAAACACTATAAACTACACTGATGATAAAATATTTTAGAAACATGATATTCATTGAATAAATCTAATGGAAACATTATTACAAATTCTACTCAAATTTGAATTTAAAATAGCCAATAATATTTTGAACCTAGTGCTTCACACATGCTAGGCAAGTACTCTACCACTCTACCACTCTACCTCCATTAATAAATTTGAAGCTAAGTCTATAAATGAAAGCACACTAGTAAGCACATTATGGATTGTAAAGACCATTTGGCTGCTTGGGAAAGGAATTCATAGCAATATAAGAGACTTTGTCTAATAAAAGTAACTAGGTAGACAGGTGATGCAGACAGAGGCAGGCCAGTACTAACATTTCACGACTAAATGAAAAGTCATCTTCAGTATTACTACAGCTCCCAATGTTCACTCTTCCTTGTCTATTCCATTTGGCTCTGTGAATCCTATTTAACAGCTCTCATGTTGACATCTGTTCAATCCCCCAGAAATATTCAGAAATATTCGGAATGCAATCCTTACAATTTCTGTGTTTAAATTGAATTTTTGCCTTCCAAATCCTAACATCAAAGTTGTGTTCTTTTTCATCTGAACTATTTTTTTTGTGTGAAAAATGTTTGCTCAAATGTTTATCAAGTCAGATGCACTTTTACAAATCTCAGCTTATTGTAAACTCCTCAAGAAGAGTGAGAATAAATTGATTTCTCTCAATATTTTTTCCATAATATGGACACAAAGCCCAACATTATTTCTATTAAAGTAGGCTAAACTTCTTTGACAGAAGTTACATAGATCATGAAGCCTGAGTGATGGGTTTCCAGAGCTGTCTCCAGGCAAAATTTGGTAGGAGGCTTTATTTTGCTCACAATGCCTCAGGTAATTTCCACTATATTTTCCTGTCACCTGTCTATCTCAGTATGTGAACCAGCTTCTAAAACAAACAAACAAACAAACAAACAAAGAGTAAATGGTTTTACATATCAGCAACTAGAATAAAATTTTACAATCAGGAACTAGAGTCAATGGAGACATCTCTAAATTATAGTTAGGACATAGGTAAGCAGAAAATAGTCAATCATTATAGTTACTTAAAGGTAGTTTACAAATTAATTTACTGTATAATTAAAGCAAATATTCAAAGTTCCCTAAATACCATCTTCATTATTTTCTCAATTGAAGATCAACCCAGATAGTCGGTCAATATCTTAATCATACTTTGATCAGATAGGCTTAAAAACAAAATTGGGGAATAAGAAATGAAAAGTTGCTCACTTGAAAAATAATATTATGAAAAATAAAAGGAGAACCTTTTATTGCATTTGTGTATGATGTTCTCTAAGTCATCATCTAAATTGGCTCTAAGAAGACAGTGAAACTGACCTGTTAAGGAAATTTTACCTCCTTGTTTTTTACAAGCTATTAAACTTGGAGATTTAATTTTTCTGTATGTTAGCTTATTGACTAGACCATTGTGCTTGTCAAAATTCAATAATTTATTTGAGTGCAACCAGTTCTTGAAGAATGAATAAGAGGTCTTACGAAGATTTTGGTAAGAAGAGAGCTTGAGAAAGAGTTAATGCTCACTAATCCTTATGTAATCCTTAAGTACTCAACCTAATCTTTTTATTTACAAATTCTCCTTAACTCTGAGATTAACTATGAAGGGGATAAAGAACAAGATGACATCCCTTTATAATTAATACTGGTTTGGGGAACCAGTAGAAAGGGTTTTTCAGCGTCTTCATTATTCAGAGAATGGCTTTAGTGCTCTCTAAAGAAGTACTAACAGGTACTTACTGCATTATATTAAGGACCTATAACCCTCAGAAGTGTCAAAAACCAAATCCAATGTGGGTCGGTGAAATACTTAGTCACTTAAGGAGATACTTAGGATTTCACCTGGCACCTGGGTGTTGCCATTTGTCACATTTCTCTATATTGAGACTTGTGGATGTTCACCCCGTTGTTTCAAGTCTCTTCCTAAAAATCTCTGTACTGTGAGAGTCTTTGGAAAAGAATACTTGCAAAAGATGTGGTGTTCTAAATATCCCAGACTAAAATTCCAGAACTTTAGCAATACTCATGGCATCCTGGAACTGCAGGGTCAAGGTGCATATGTAGTCAAGAATGGAAAGGTTCTCCACCTCTCTATGGGCTATGGTTGGCATGGACTATATGAGAGCCTCCTCAGCAGATGGGAAATCCCTTGTGTCTTTTGATGGTGACCATTGTTTTAATTTTTGCATTGCTGTGACCAAAAGATCTGAAAAAAACATCATAGAAGAAGAGATGTTTATTTTGACTCACAGTTTCAGAGGTTCAGTTCACAGTTGGTTGACTCCATATCTTTCAAAGTGAGGCAGATATTAATGGCAGAAGGGCAGGGTGGAGGAAATATGTTCACAATATAGCAAGAGAAAGAAGAGAGGAACAAAATATAAACACCAAAGGCATTCCCCCAGTGACCCACATCCTCTAGTCACATACTGCCTGCCTAGAGTTACCACCCAGTTAATCCATATTATTGGATTAGTTCATCAATTAGGTTGAAACTTTAATCATTTCAACTCTGAACCTTCTTTCTTTGTCTTATGAATGAGCTTTTGGGGGGCACATTACATCAAAACCATGAGAGGTCCATATTCTAAAAAATTCTGTTTATTTTAGTGTTTAATAAATGTTCTTTTGGGGGGACTGGGATTGTGGCCAAGAAGTAGAGTGCTCGCCTAGCATGTGCGAGGCCCTGGGTTCGATCTTCAGCACCACATAAAAAATAAATAAATAAAATAAAAATATTTTAAAAATGTTTTTTTGGATCAATCTACAAAATTCCCTGTCAGAAAATTATTTTTAACACTATTGCCAGTGCTTTTTAAAACTTCACAATGACATCATTTACTTATTTATTATGTTATTATCTCTTGATCGTGTGAGCTCATAAAAAATTATACATAATCTTGGAAAGAATTAGTAAAAGTATATTAATACCTGCTCTGCAATACCTTGTGCTGTTAATTACAGTAGTCTACCCTTTTCACAAGAGATATGTTCCAAGACTCCCAGTGGATGCCTGAAAACATGGATAGTATTGAATTCTATATATGTTTTTTCTATAGGTACATGTCTGTGATAAAGTTTAATTTAGAAATTAGACACATTAACACATTAACAATAACTAACAATAAAATAAAAATTATATCAGTATATTATAAAAATGTGTATGTGATCTTTCCTTCTAAAAATATCTTACTGTTCTTTCATCTTTTCACTTAGAAAGGAGTTATTCATGACTGGTCTTTGGAAAGTCTGGGTTTCCAGCATCACTATTCTTGTAATACAAGACCATAATTAAGTAAAATAAGTATTATTTAAACACAAACACTGTGATACCTTGGCAGTCAGTGTGATACACAAGGCAATTACTAAATGATTAATGGGTGGGTAGTGTATACAGCACGGACACACTGGAAAAATGTATGACATAATGTCATAGGTAGAAAGAATGGGACAAAGCCTGAAAATGCAAGATTTCATCATGCTTCTTAGACTGGTGAACAATTTAAAATTTATGAATTATTTTTATTCATGGTATTTTTCTTTTACTATATTAAGGCCATGTTTGTCTGTGGTTAACTGAAACTGCAGAAAGTGAAACTACTCATCAGGGGTGGTTATTGAATGCCCAACCTTTGCATGCCAACTAAAAAGGGTGGATATTAGAGCAAAAAAAACTTAGAATAAAACAACAAAAAGAACATTTAAAATTAGACCATTTTTAAAATTGGAAAACATTATGAGATTTAGAAACTGACCAAAATACTACTATCTTCTAAACATGAAAAAAAAATAAGTCTAATTTTTCTTGGCTTATTAAAATAAGGTCTTTGGAACGAACATAACCTTGCTCCTTTTCTGTCCTACTTCCTTAAAATAAATATTTGGAAAATCATTCATATCCAGGGGCTCATTCCAATAAATGCAACAATTTCAACTTCAGAGAAGCGCATATACTTATAAACCCATATCAGAGTAAAATATTTATCCCTATGTTCAAGAAAGGTAAGGAATTGTTGAAAAAGTCTATATTCACTATTTTAAACACTAACTTCTTATAAATGAGTTCATTCTTTAAAAATCTTGCATTACATTTAATTTAATCAGCCTCATTGTGGTTGGTAAGGAAAGTAGAAATCAGAAAGCTGTGCTTTTTAAATTTTCCTCATGTATAATAAAGTAGCTGGGAGATTCCCATTACAGTTTGTTAATCTCAGTTGGAGCAAGATGCTATCTCTTATATTTAAGTCTGATAACAGACATTTTTGGAAGTTATAGGTCAAATTTAAAGAAAAATGAGAATTCTACCAATTTCTAGGTATCTAGCATGGTTTATTTTGTCTTCATAGTTTGACAAGAAGTGATAAAATATTCTGCTTCTTTGATAAGTAAAGGACATCTGTCTTTCCTGGAGATATAATATTGTGTCATAGAACATGTACATGTTTTGAAGGTAACAATAAGTATGTTCTAATGACTAATATTAAGATTTCAGAACCTCAATTTTTCTAAAATAAGTATAATAATATCACCTTGTTAAATGCTTCATGGAGGTTTAAGTGAGGTATTGTATATGGTGCATAGGCAAACCACAACTTCTGCGATGAATATCTACCACCTTTGTCTACCCCTTTTCTCCAGTTAAAGTTAGAATGGGGAACGATTGTTTATGAATCCATACCTCCCCAATTCTCACCTCCTGATTGTCGCGACCCCTCGCCGGCAAAGGAAACACGACACAGGATTCTTCTTTCAGCAGTTTACTCAGGACCTTTGAATCATGATGAGAAAACAGGAACAAGAGAAGAAAGCGCATGCGCCAGCGGTTGGTCTGCCCTAGCTTAAGTACCCAGCCTTGCCAATGAACCAGCACTACGTGGAAGAGTCTAATAGGTACAGCGCAGCAGAAGCAGGCCAGAGCCCAGCCCCACAGCCTTACAAGGAGTTGTTTACTTCTAACAACTCTAACCGCTGAGTCATCAGAAGCAGGAAGCCAGCGCCATTTTCAGGGTGCGGTCGCCGGCTCCCAACACCTGATGGCATTTATCAATGTGCAGATTGAGCATCTGATACAGTTAAGTCAATCATGCTCCTTATGCATTTGATCCACAATTACTGGGAAGAAAGAAGACCTTCATAACAGTACAAACTCAGTAAGCTGGGGTTGTGATTCTAGGCTGTCCATCATCTTTCCTTCAAACAAGTGAGACTTGTGCATAGAGAAGCCCAGATGATAGATGGAGTATGGGTGTGGTAAGCAAGAAGGTGACAGAGTTAATGATCATTTCTATTCTTGGTTCTTGTGGTCCTGAAGTTGCATCTACTCTTGTAATCACCATCTGATAGGTTGCTCAGTCTTTCTTTTTCATTACTTATGCTGGTTACATTGGAGTTCTTTATTGACAGTAACAAGTTCTGGCTCATACAATCACTACCTTATGAACACTTTTTGTCTTCCTTCTAACCTAAGTACAGTCTTCAATTACATTTTGGTATATTTAGAAGGCTTTGTGAGCAGTATCTTCCCTGTTCTCATTCATTTTTCCTTATCACTGGGTCAACAACAATGGGGGGAGAAAAGAAAAAGAAAAAAGAAAAATTTCATCTATGAACTGCTCTAACAAAACATTCTATATTACTTTGTTCATGTCAGGTGCAAGAAAAACTGTTATGTTCAGACGCACACCAGGTAAATAGGGAATATGTACTTCTTGTTATATATTGTAATATATTGTAGTTCTTCCTGGTAACTAGCCCAGTTTGGTGTGAGTACCTATTTTGTCACTAACTGGTTTGTGATTTTAGAAAATCTACTTAAGTTCCCTAAACTTCAGTTTGCTTCTTTGTAAAATATGGAATTTAATAATATCTAACTGTAAGTTGTTATATGGAATAGTTGTGAAAATACTTGTGCTTAGCTTAGCCAATTTCTGGTATTAGTACCATTGTTCTTTCCAAGGATATTACCAGATATTACTGGCTTTATCAACGTTTTATTAAGGTACTTTTGTTGTTGTTTGTTTTGTTTTTATGCTGGGGATTAAACCCAGGGACTCATGCATATTAAGCAAGCACTCTACCATGAAATATATCTCCAGCTTCTGGGGTTTTAAAATAAGGTATTACTTTCCTGCTTTTAGGGCTAGGCCTGTGTTTATGTACATACATTACGAAAAAGCAAATTCAGACTCTTCCTTCTTTATTTTTATTTATATATTTTTTGTAGCTGTAGATGGTCAGCATGACTTTGTTTTATTTGTTTATGTTTATGTGGTGCTAAGTATCAAATCCAGTGCCTCACACATGCTAGGAACACAAACACTCTGCCACTGGGCTACAGCCCCAGCCCCCAGAATCTTCATTCTTGATCTCTTTTTTTTTACCAGGTACTCTGTTCTGCTTGGCATATCTGTTGCTTATAAGCTAAGTTTACTTGATCAAACACTCCTAACTCAAAGTGAGTTTGAAAATGAAATTCAAGACAGCTGTACTGACTTGGAGTCTATGAAGCATGCTTATTTTTAGGAGACTCTGTAGAGGTTAACATCATTATTTTGATTATGAATCACGTACAGAACACTGTATTTTTGTAAAGAGCTTTGGCATCGTTTCATAATTTAAAATCTGAAGTTCCTCAGTGGGGGATTTGTCAGCCATTGCAGATGGGAGAGGAAAACCAAGGAAGCTGAACTATTGCAGGACAAGTTTATCACTTACTACAAGGTCGAAGCACAGATTTCCTAAGACGTCCCATTCAAGACCAACTCAGCCAAAGAAGTAAAATTTCACACAACTGATGTCATTAGCTTGGCTGTCTTTCTCTTTTTAACTCATATAAACATTTTGGACAGAGATTGAATCAACAGACTGAATCCATTTTGATCTTGGTACAATAGTTACTTACCTGAAAATGGTTCATAGATTTAAGAAGCCAAAGAAACCAGATCACTCAGATTTAAATACTCACATGGTGACTTAAACTTTCTTTGTTTCCGTTGGTAATATTCTTCATCCATTAGTGAAGTATTTAACCTTAACCTCTCTTTAGAATAGTTTCTAGAATAGAGCTTCTTCTACTCTTCCTTTTCTGCCTCTAATAACCATTAATTGACTGTAGAAAGATCAGTCCTATTTAGTGAACTGTGAAATTACATATTATTATTGTGTTTTATCGTGCCCTATTTGCTTAAGTCATGTGTTTTCAGTCATCTGAGGCTGCTATAAGAGGATGCTACAGATTGTGGGATTTAAATGAGAAGTAGTTTCTCAGAGGTCAAGAGTTGGGAAATCTGTGATGAGGTTGTCTGCATGACTGTGCTCTGCCCAGGGCTTCTTTCCTGTTTTTTTCTTTTTTTTTTTTTCCACATGGAAAGAGAAGAAGCGAAGCCTCCCCTCTCTCCTCTTATAAGGGCACTCATCCCATCATGAGGGATCCACCCTTGTGACCTAATCACCTCACCAAGTCCTTATCTCCAAATACCTAGACATTTGAGATGACTGTTGAGAGAACACAAACATACCATTCATAACACCATACTGACAGAAGAGAGGGATCTTCATAAAATTTAAGGAGTAAATGTTGGTAAGTCCAGTCAGTGATTATAAGTACAGATTCAAGGTAAATGAGAAAACTCTCCAAATAGGTCACATATTATCTTCAAGGAGTTGAAATATATTTGTTGCTATAATTCTTATTACAATTTTTATTAGTTATTGATGCACCTTTATTTACTTATTTGTTTATATGTGGTGCTGAGAATCGAGCCCAGTGCCTCACACATGCTAGGCAAGCACTCTACCACTGAGCCACCACCCCAGCCCCAAGTTACTATAATTCTTTTTTGAAGAATGGAAATTAATTATTTCCAAAGAAAGTGACCTGAGAAAATGAGTTCATTTTGTCATGAAATGGTATCACATGTTTGAACGTGAAATGAGAGAAAATGAGGCTCTTAACAAAAATATGTCAGTTTAAAAACAAGGGGAAAACAACTTCAAATATATTGTGTGGAGAGTGTAGAAATTCCAAAATGCTTAGAGGTAGGTTTCAGAATCAGTTTGATCAAGAAGACCAAATAACATCATGAGGACTTGGCACCATCTCTCCCATTCTATGTATTTTTAATGATTTCACATGGTGCTTCTAACAGATTCAAGCTTATATTCTCCCAAGTTCAAGCCTTCAATTAAATTTTTTTAAAAAAAGTGTGGGTGTGAGAGGGGTTTGGACATTTCCTCCATTCATTTGAACATTAAAAACTCATACCTGATTTTTGTCTGCTTAGCTAACTTTTGGACTGAATTGAATCATATGACCAATCCTGATCCTTGATCTTAGCAAATAAAGTGGCCAATTGGCTTTGACTTAGATCATATGTCTATTTCTGGATCTATGCTGAACCCCCAAGAACCTTAAAGAAAGAGAAGGAAAGAGGTGTTTTTCCAAAGTAAACTGAAAACTCAGTTGATGCAGCAGGATAGACAACAGATGCCTATCAAAATGGAGGACCACCAGTTCAATGAATCCTTTCTGACTTTTTCTACTTTTAATGACAGTTTAAAATTAAATCCTATTATTATTATTATTTTTTGTTGTTGTCCTTTTTATTTCAACAAATACTGAATTCTAGAAAAGGTCTGAGACTTTTACTCTTCGAGGGTAGAATTTATATGAAAACCTCCATTCATTTTTTCAGAGAAAGTGGTTCCCAAAAGCTTTTCCTGGGGAAAAAAAAGAAAACTATAGCCTATTAAGTAATGCAACAAAAGGAATCTGTTCCAGAGGAGGTCTGACTTTTGCATGTTTCTTTAAGTCAAAAATTTGTTTTTTTCTTTGGATTTTTATTGGTCATGTATTGCTTCTTGGTATTATACATATACAAGGTTTGAGAAACCATTTCGATTTCACCAAAACTTAATTTAAGGCAGCCAATTTAAATCACCCAGAGATTCAGTAATTTCCCAAGAAGTCCTTCAGATCCCAAATTAAAAGAAGTCAACTTAAGTGCTTAATTATTTTACAGACTTTTTTTCTTCATTGATTTTAATTAAGGTCTTCCTGTCTTGTGAGCCTGGAGGACTTCCATTGTCTCTTGAAATAACTTCATTTGAAGTCATGTTGACCAAACAAACCATGCAAACCTAATGGTGACTTGCAGGAACAAGTTATTCTAAAATATTGGGAAATAAGAATCCACTTTACCTTGACAGTGGCAGTTAAATATTTCTTCAGGAAGCAGGAGAAGTAGCCTTTTCCAGAAACTATGGAAGATCAGAGCCCTAACCTGTGGGAGCAACCTCAGAGATGGAAACTAGCTGTCAACAGCTGACCTATAAATGTCCTGGTAAGAACTGGTTTCAGGCTGTTCCTAAGGTGGTGGCTATGGGTTTGTTTTGCTCTTGCTGGAAGAGAATAGCAAGCTTTCCCCTTAGCTTTCCAAGTGCAACAAAACACCCAGTTAACTCTTCCTCCTCCTCCAGAGTTCAATAGAAAATAAAAAAGTTTTCACAATAGTCCTCTGTTTCAAAAGGGAAAGTTCGCCATTAGGTGCCTTGGGCTTCCCTTCCTTGGTTGATCATGTACTATTGTGTGGCATTGGATAATTACATGCCCTCTCCAAGTCTCAGTGTTCCCATCTGTGAAAAACAGAGTGTGAAACAACCGAAACTTGTTGACATAGTGCCCTCTTCATATTTTTTTTTTGAGAATTAAATGGGTATAGGTAACGTTTATAGGTATGCAAAC